AATTACTCTGTGATGAATTCATACATTGAACTATCGCATGTGTTAAATCATACACGCACTTTTAAATAATTTAAATTTCAAACCTAAAGTTTAGTTTTGTTGCCAAAACATACAAAAACGTGATAAATGTTTAGCTAATTTTGATGTGGCATCCACGTGTGCAGTAGTCATGCTAATGTGGAATCCACGTGTGCTGAAGTCATGCTGACGTGGAATCCACATGTACAAAATTGAAACAAAATTGGTGGAATTTCAAAAATACCCTTTTTCCAATACCATTTTTTTTTAAATACCACTCTTGTAAATTTATCAAAAAGTCACTACAATTTGAAATTTATCAAAAATATATATGTAAACTTTATATATATAGCCACAAATTATCTTTATATGTATGTAAATTTAAAAACCTTATAAAAGCTTTATAAATACCATATAAATATCTACTTCAAACATTTTAATAACTTCGAATCCCAGTATAACACAATACTGACCGGTACTCCATGAAGTCTGATAATCTCCTACACATACTTCTTGGTTAACATTGCCGCTCCATCAGTCTTCTTGATAGCCAGAAAGTGTGCATTTGTGGTCAAACGATCTACAATGACCCAAATAGCATCCTTGAACTGAGACACCGGCAAACCAACTATGAAATCTATCGTAATTATGTCCCACTTCCACTTTGGAATAGGAAGACTCTACAGTAGACTACTTGGCACCTAATGCTCAGCCTTCACTAGCTGACACACATCACACTCATACACCCACTTAGCTACGTCTTTCTTCATCCCAACCCAATTGTAGTACCTCTCCAGGTCTTTGTACATCTTGGTCGATCCTGTATGAATAGAGAACATTCTCCCATGAGCCTCACTTATAATCTCACGCCTCAAACCCTCATTCTTGGGAACACAAAACCGCCCATGCACAAGAATAGTCCTGTTGGCTGCAACCTGATACTCTGAATCTGTATCCTTAGAAGTACTAACCAGCCCTGCATCATTCTCCTGAGCCGCCCTACCTATGGTCAGAAGATCTGCTCGGCTAGCTGCCTCTAACCCAAGTGACTCCTGAGAAGTAGCACACAAACGCAGAGTGCTAATCTCTCCTACCAAGGTCTTCATATCCTGCCCTCTAGCTGAAGCCGCTCGCTTCCTACTCAAGGCATCTGCAACCAAATTAGCCTTACCGGGATGGTAAGCTATCTCCAGGTCATAGTCTGACACCAACTCCATCCACCGCCTCTGTCTTAAATTCAACTCAGATTGCGTGAATATGTACTTCAGGCTCTTAGGATCTCTAAACACCTGAACCTTCGCCCCATACATATAGGATCTCCAAATCTTCAGAGCGAATACTACCGCCGCCATCTCCAAGTCTTGAGTAGGGTAGTTGCCCTCATGCTTCCGCAACTGCCGCAAAACATATGCAATCAACTTAACCTACTGCATCAACACACAACCGAAAACAACTCCCGAAGCATCTCTGTACACCACATACGGCTCCCCCTGTTATGTTAGAGCCAAGACCAGCGTACTTGTCAACATCTTCTTAAGCTTAGCAAAACCCTGCTCACACTCAGGAGTCCACACAAAAGGAATATCCTTCCCCGTCAACTTGGTTATCGGTTGAGCTGTTCTTGCAAAACCCTTCATGAACCGTCTGTAGTATCTCGCCAATCCCAGAAAACTCTGGATCTCCGTGGCATTTTGCGGTCTAGGCCAATCTTTAATAGCCTCAATCTTCTCTAGCACCACAAAAATTCCCTCTACATACACAATATGACCCATAAAACCCATCTCTCTCTGCCATAAACAACACTTGCTTAGCTTAGCATACAGCTTCTCCAAAACCGCCCTCAAGTGCACCTCGTATTCCTCAGGACTCTTAGAATACACCAGCATATCGTCGATGAAGATGATAATGAACTCATCCAGAAACGCCTGGAACACACTGTTCATCAGTCTCATGAACGCCGATGGTGCATTTGTCAATCCGAAAGGCATCACTACAAATCATAATGCCCATATCTTGTCTTGAACGCCATCTTACGGATATGCGTTCCTCTACCCGATTTTGGATGCATCTTATTAGACTCTCATCAAAGGAATCTTCTAAGGCCGAAGTTCCTTTACCCGATTCTCGAAAATCCTCACCGGTCTCGCCTCTAGAGTCATGATGAGCTGAAAATCTGCCAGAATCTTAGCCAACACCTCATCATCCTTATGCAGACATTTCTTCAGCATCGACACATGGAACACCTTATGGAACGCCTGCATAACCTTAGGTAACTCCAACCGATACGCCACCGGTCCAACCCGCTCCACAATCCCGAAAGGACCCATATACCTAGGACTCAGCTTAGTCTAAGTAAGGGACCTGTTAGGACCACGTAATATCACCATTTTGAGATACACCATAGCTCCAACCTCAA